TCCTGTCCGGGGTGCTGCGGCGGGCGCAGTGCCTGCGGCGCTGCAAGCAGGGGCTGCCCGCCTTCCGACAGGCGCAGCCCGGCCGCGACCTGCTCCAGGAGTTCCAGCGCCGCGAGCCCTACAAGTACTTGCAGTTCGCCTACTTCAAGGTGAGAGCCCCCCTCATCCCGCCCCGCTCCTTGATCCCTCCTCCTTTCTCCTCCCGCCTCTCTGCCCTGCCTCCGCTCCCCCCACCTCTGTCGCGGGCTCTCCTCTTCAAAGTCTCGCCTGGTGCGGTGGTGGAGGGGGACAGCATGGTGTGTCCCAGGACAGTCTGGACAGACCCCAAGTGCCTGGTGCACCCAGTGCTAGAAAAGCCTCCCGTCATGCCGACCCCTCGCCTGGCCCTTGGAGCAGGTTACTCTGGGCCACGACCTCATTCCTCATCACTTTCTCCACACCACTTGTCACCTGCCTCATCTCTATTTCTTCCCTGCCCCTGGTCAGTCCTTGTTCCCCTAGGCTGCCAACCCTATACTTTGTAATCCTCTCCTTGACAAGCTTTTCTGTTGTTTCATCCCACTCCTGTAGCCCACAGTGGGATTAGTGTGTGCGTTGTCTTTCCCCTGCTTACCCACATACCATCCAGCTCGCTCTTCAGCCGTTTTTTACAGCTCATCCAGCATGTCCCTGAGAATCAGCCCTTCCAGCTCTTCCTTGACATCCAGCCACCGGACACTGCCTTTGTGTTCGGTAGCTGTGTCATTCCTGCCCCTCTCATCTTTCCATCTGCCTTACTTGCTAACCTTCTCTGGAACCTTTTTCAGACTCTTCGTGTCACAGCTCTGCTATTGCAAACGATCTTCACTGCTTCTCCTTCAGCGTGTCCACCTTCTTCACTTGCTCGTTTCTGGTCCGGTTCTCTCAAGTGCAGCAGCCCCCAGCCTGTGACTTGCAGATAGCCTTGTGCCTGGAAAACTCCAGTTTCATTACAGCTGTGAAAAGGAATGAAGCAAAAATTGGCTGCTGAAGTGGGACACTATAATGCTAGCCCTGCAATGGTATTTACCTTTTGCTCTTTGGTCAGCCAAGACGGGGAACACTCTTAACAGGTTTCATCCTGTTTTTCTAGCTTCTTGTCATTCTTCTTTCCAGGATCTATTTGATTATTTTCTCCCTTCTCATGTTCACCTTCTGATCTCTATATCAAGGTCCATCTCTCCTGCCATCCCCTCA